CTGGGGAATTATGTGTACGAAGACAACGACAGTCCGATGCAGTACTTCCCGGTCGAGGACCCGAACCCACGGCCCGTCGAGTTCGTAGAGTTAGTCATACTTTCAAATCACGGACACCACGACTACAGCTGTCTCTATAGGTTCAGAGTTCACGGCAAACGTATAAACCATTAGTTTTGACATCAATTCACTCAACCATTCACTCGACTGTCTAACGAACCCTTCCTTTGCTTTATTTATTCATTCATTCATTCATTTCCTAATTATTTATCATTACTTAAGACATATTAAGACATATTTTTGTGTAAATATAACAGTTTTATAATATGCAACACAACTGCCATAAAGTGTTTGCAATTTTAAATGATTTTATTATTCATTGAGAGGTATTTTATTGACACGTATTTAATGCCATTTTACGTACAAAACAACGGAATTAATTGAAAATATTATTTAATAAAAAATATCAGTTTTTATCATTTAATCACAACATTTGATAAACAATTAAATAGTCATAAACTATAGCCTATATATAGGAAACAATAATTGGTTCAGAAATTCAATTGTTTAATGATTTGTTTGGTGTGTTCGGGACTCCGGACGGTATACCCGATAGTGCGCGGATCCGTATAGATCTCGTAGTCGTTACCTCCCGGCGCCGTCTTATCGCCGAAGAAGTAGATCTTATCGAAGTCCTTCTCCACGAATCGCAAGCAATATGTTTTGTCCCAACCCTTCGGGAAACAGTCGAAACTGATTTGTCCGCCGATGGCATAGCGGAGGTCCAACTCGTGACCGAACCGGGCGTTCAGGGCGTCCACAAACTTCTGGCGGATGTGGTGTTTGGCGTCATAGGCGGCGAACTCCTCCCTCTGCCTCTGCGTACAGCTCCGGCCCACCGGACATATGTTGACCAAACCGTTGCGGAACTCTCGTTCAGTGCGTCCACAAACTTCTGGCGGATGTGGTGTTTGGCGTCATAGGCGGCGAACTCCTCCCTCTGCCTCTGCGTACAGCTCCGGCCCACCGGACATATGTTGACCAAACCGTTGCGGAACTCCACGAAGTTTCCGCGTTTGACCGGCAGTTCCAGTTCAGACATATACCGCAGACAGAAGTTGGTGAGCGTCTGGAGCTTGTGTTCGCCCACGAACTCCGCGATCGACTCCGTGGCCAACAGCGAGCCCTTCTTGTAGGCGACCAAACCGTTCTCAGCGAACACGTAGTCGTATCGGTTCACGATTGTGTCCACCGATTGGGCGCTGTCCTCACCCGCGCCGCCGCCCATCTGTTCCACAATCTTCGACAGGTCTGAACCGCCGACCAGTCCTACGGACACTCTCTCGCGAAGATCTTTGAGCAGCTCTTCCATCTCTGGGCTGATCGGCAGTCGCGATGACGTGAGTGTATTGTCGACGTCGAACAGCACGAGTGTCTTCAACTTGTTGACCGCCGATGACATTGTCCTCCACTTTACAAGTCTTCGCACGTATTGTATTGAATGATGCAATCGATGGCTGTCTTCGTGTCCGGTGTCACGTATGGCTCAATGAAAGCGGTTTCGGGCGATTTGGTGGTAGTGTTGAGTGTCGCCGAAGACTCTGTCGATTAGATAACACGCGAGTGTCAGCCGATTATAAACTGTGAATTAAGACCACGATTTCGGTCTCAAGACTTGCCATAACTTATAATCCATAAGTTGTGGCAAACGTTGGGTCGCTTTTAATAAGCTTAGAATGACGTGTGCTTTGAATGCCATCAGCACTGGTATGTTATGTCAAATGCCATCCGCATTGCGTAAGGCCTGTGGTAAGCATTTTCATTGGACGAGATTGTGATACTGGGGCTGAAAACACACAGCATTTTACATAACGGTAAGCACACCAGTCTTCACCATCAGAGGCCTCCGCCTTAACCTCCGTTTGGCTCTTGTTTTCTGGTTTATTGTCGTTTTTCACAGCAGTTGTCTCGACATTGTGTGGACTCTCTTCCGACTCTTCCGAAGAGCTTCTTCTGCATCTAAACTGTCGATTCGTTTTGGGCTCACTTTTGATGATAAAAATAATTGTAATTTGAGTGACGAGTGGAAGGTATTTACAAAAAAACGAAAGACTTATCTCTCAGTGGTTGCCGTGAGATCAGTGAGACACAGGAGAAGTGAAATACGTTGCAAGTTTGTGTTGCCTGGATCAATGATCATAATCAATGGTAACAATGGTGGCAACGATCATGAACCAATCCAAATGATGAATACAATTGAAATAAATGAATGAATAAATGCACTGGTTTTCACTCCCCTTATGTGCTTCACTGCTTGGGATACAAACTTATAACGAATTTAGCAGTCAATAATTAACAGTAACAGTTAGTATTTTAAAATGACAGTACATTTGTTTTTTATGACATTTGTGTCTATATTATGAATGTGGTGAATATGTTTACCTTACGTGTCTTCACGGGTGTATGTCTTGTCATCTTCGCGGGTGTATGTCTTGTGACGTCGTTCCCACTTACGGACAACCCATGCTATCGACCAAACATTAAACCAATGGACCGCTGTAAGAGAGATCATATCAAAAATAGGACGCATTCTGATCGGGATGTCTGCTGTTCATATTGGCTGGTGATGGCCTGTCAGGTGAACGTGGCTAATACTAGTAACTGCACGCAGGAGGACAAGAATCAGTTTGAGGCCAATTGGGTCAATGGGATGTCGGCGCATACGGACTTTAATAATTGCAATTTCACCCTTCACTCGAAAGACCATTGCGAGGGCCGTCACAATCTCACTGATCTTCCCGAGGGACCAACTGATTCTCAGGTGCCTACCGATCCGATAACCGATACGACGTCCATCGATTTACCGAAAGGATCCCCCGGTGTGCCCATCGCTCTCTTCATCTCTGTGGTGACGGCACTGATTGTGGCCCTCATTTATGTCTTATATTTCAATTCTCAAGACAATCAACGGCACAGACAGCCACAGGAAGACGACCGGGAAGACAAACGTCTCAATCCCGAACCTTAACGTTAGCCTTACCTATCATTTAAATTGACATCAATTACCATATGATCATAACTAAGTCTATCTTATCAATCATACATTATTTTATATTTTTACTTTTGTATTGATTTTTTATATACGGGTAAAACAATTGTACGGGTAATCTATAATAAAACTCATGTAACTTGCTCAATCAATTAAATGCTATTAAGATCTCAATTATCATATTTGACAGAAGTTTAGTAAACACTTTACAGTACTTTGTACACGACTATAGATAATTATAATTATTATTTTTATGAATAACTTATTTAAGTTAACTGTATCCGTCAATGATAATACTGTGCAATTAAATTATAAAAAATTATATTTAAACTGAGTTTATGTTAAGAATGACATTTTGTATGTTTAACTTGATTTTCAGTATAAATAAAGTTTTCAATTCCTTTTCAATTTACACTTAAAAAGGTATTTATTTATCATAAGTATTATTAAATAATCTAAATTATAAACTTTATAAACATTGCAGTGATTTATTAATTAATTTTTAAATATAGTAAGGAATTAATGTTTGTTTGATATGTTTCTAGTCTCCCAGTGTATCATAAAGGGTATGATTCAGTACTAGAATATGATAGCAAATGTAAATTACATTACATTATGTAATGTACACATGTCAAGCAAAATCTTGCATTTGTTTTGTACAGGTATTGGTATAAAGAAAATCGTAGATTATTTTATTAAAAAAGTTTTACGGCTATGTTATGTACTATAAAAAGTGAAACACTGGTTTATACGGTACTTCGTATTTAATTGGATAAAATTTATTTCATATATAAGTTAAAAAGTAATAAATATAGAGTTTATTACAGAATCTCTTCAATAGTATCCAAAAATAGTTTTTCAAACTCTTGTTCCGAGAATCGGTCGACACTTTTGCGAGCATTGAGTCGAATATCACTCAAATCGGATTCACTTAACGCGGAGACCCTGTAGAGTGTGTCCGCAAAGCTGTGCGCATCTGTGGCCAGAAAGCCATTGCTTCCGTCGGTGATGAGGTCGTGCTGAGGTCCGCCCGACTCGTGCGCCACTGTTATGAGTCCGGCCGCCAACTGCTCGACGACACCGATCCCGAAGTGTTCGTTAATCATTGTATGCAAACCAATGCCCGACTCCTGTGTCATACTCTTAAGCTCGTCGTACGGAATGTTTATCTTGAAGTCCACTTTACCGGCGATTCCCAAACTGTCGCTCAGTTTCTTGAGATCATTGAGTCGCTGTCGGTCCCCATCGTCGCGACAATTGCCGATT